AACAGCGTGAGCTGCTGTGGAAGGGGCCCCTGGCTTCTCCCACACTCACCCTGCAGTCTGGCCTTCCCTGGGAGAGGGTGGCCCAGCAGGTCAGCTCCGTGTCCTACTCCACACAGGGTTTACAGACGGGAACCAGGCAAGTGTCCCCCAGGCGGTGCCCACGGTTCTTTCCTGCCGTGTCAGTCTGCTCAGGGAGATCCCCTCCTTGCTTGAAGCCACGGGGTCAGGAGGGGCTGCCACGTGCCAATGGCACAGAGACCATCCTGTCCCCACCTACGCAAGCTCCTGACTGGAGCTGTTTGCCACTAAATGAGACCCACCCTCTCCCTACTGAAACCAGCGGGCATGAGCATGAGGCTGCAAGTACAGCGGCCACGTCACCACCGGGAAAGACAGGGCTGGATGTCCTGGGAGACTGTCCTGTTGGCCCCAAGCATGAAGCCAGGTCACTGGCAACAGCAGAGACAGCGTGGATGCTTGGTGACATCACTGAAACCACCAGGTCAAGCTTCTCCTGAAAGACCCCCTCTGGCCAAGTCCTTCCTTTTTTAGCCAGCTGGGGTGGAGTGTTATGTCATGACTGGTACTGAGAGGAGTGTGGGCAGAAGGACAGGGAGTTAAAACAGCGGCAAGTGTGATGATCCAGAGAGTGCGAGAAGATGGGGTCCTGGGTGTGGCGGCCGGACCCTGCCTGGCCTGTCCCAGCTCGAACTTGTTCGTGCCTGACTGCCCTGCCTTCCAAGGACTCTGGCTGACGTTGGTTCTCTCACGGCTTGCCAAACCAGTGTTCTTCCTTATCTCTGCAGCTGTGTAGGAATGACAAGACTCTAAAACTGTCCGTGATGTTACAATTGGGACTCAGCCTTTAGATAACAGTCCACTGAGCTGGTGCTGGCATCAATAAAGGCTGCTTCCTGCTTATAACACCGGTGTCCCGTCTCTGCATTTGAGAATCCCGCAACATGGGAGCTGCAGGTTGTTAGCGGGCACATACGGGACACGAGGAGAGAGTGCAGAGGAGACAGCGAGTCAAAGGCTCAGCTGAAGCAGGCGTCTCCAGAATGGAAGAATGCCGCCCTGCGGATGAGTGCGGAGGGACAGCTGATGGGCAGGGCTGCCGGAAGCAAGGGGTGGGGTGTGGGGCCCAGTACGGAGAGTGCACCTCCATCCCAGCTGCTGGCCTCATGCCCGCTCATGCTAGGAGCATCATGGGCCAGATGACTGTCCCGACTGGGCAGTTGGGGAGGTCAAGGCCAAAGCTCTCTCAAGTCCTGTTGGGCTGACTAGTGTTGGTGGGACAAGTGACCAAGGCTCTGAAGGAACTCTGGCACCTCACCTGCTGGGACCAAACCCAAGGGGTCCCGGTGACCAGTGAACTCCAAGAAAGGGAAATGGCCATGACACAAACCCCCTAGACGGCTCGAGACACAGACGGAGGCTGCAGTGCATTTTATTTCAGCCCTGCTCGTAAGGGGGATCCACGGAGACGCGGGCGCTGTCGCCTCTTTTTCATACGGGGCCGGCGGCGGCGGCAACGAGCCAGCTAGTGCTGCCTGGACCGTGACGACTTTTTGTTGGGCTTGGAGACGGAGGCCTCCCTGTCCTTCTCTGGGTCGAAGATTTCTACACACAGAAAAGGTGGGGGCACTGGGTGGCAGGGCTAGCTGCACACCTGGCAAGAAAGAGCTCACGCCCACAGCTGCACCTCCTTGCCAAGGACCTGTCCCACGTCCCTAACTCCTCACTGTGACACCCCTCCCAGCCTATAAGGAAAGAAGAGGCCCAATGTGAGGGAGCTGGGGACACCCCAAGCATTGCCGGGGAGAGCCTGGTCTGCCTGGGACCACTCAATGCAGACGCTGCTTCCACGGGTGGCGCTCAGCCTGGCTACAGACCAGGAGCACCGCACGAGCCTTGGGGATACTAACCTGGTATCTCATGGGGCCAGTAATCGTTACAGTGGGGGCAGTGTGGCTCAGAATTCGACTGGAAGTACTTGGCCACACAAGGCAAGTGCATCCGGATGCCACAGGTCTCACAGCTCTGGCCCTGAAACAGGAAAGGTGTCCGTGAGCCTCCAGAGACCGTCCAGCGGCCAAGCGTCTTCATCTTCCAGGCACCTCACCTGCTGGAATGACCCCGAAGCCATGGTGCAGTGGGCTACCAAAGAATTCCATATGAACACAAGGAAGAGGCTCAAGGCCAGAAAGTGGCCGACCCACAGAGCACCAAGGCCACCCTAAAACTTTGGTGGGTGTGAGATGGGCTACAGCTTGAGAACCTTGTGCACTTCCCTCCCGGGAATTCAGCCTAAGGAAGCGTCACCAGGCGCCCCACATGCAGGTGGAGCCTCGTCAGAGAGCGGTCAGCAGTGCAGGAAGGTGGAGGGTGAAGGGAAGGAGGCTAAACGCCTGCGCTGGCCCTGCTGCCGTGAAGGCCGACAGGTCCCCAGTGTAAAGCCGGTGACTTAGTGACAACAGCCAACGTAGAAGGATGGCCGGCACACGGCTGCCAAAGTACCAGGCGCACACAGACTTCCAGAAAAAGGCCTGTCCTGGGACTAGAGCGCAGCACAGGAGAACACAAACGAACACACACACGCGCGCACACGCGCACACACACATACACACACACACACTCACTCACTCACTCTACCTGGATGAGGAGGCTGTGGCAGATGTCGCATATCTTCATGGTGTCAGGGTACGTCTCCCGGATGTACTGCTCCATCTCTAGGATGGCCCGGCTATGCAGGGTGAACTCTCCTTCCTTCTGCAGGGACACAAGAGGGGCAGCGAGCCCTCAGGCCACCAGCACGCCAGGCCCTTCCTTCCCTGCTCAGTAACCTGTCCCCTCTGCAGCCCACCGCCCAAGAGATGCAAAGGCCTGGCCTCAGGCGGGGAACTCAGGCAAAGACCTGAAAGGAAATCACGGACGCTCCCCACACACACACACTTTCTTGGCACCTCGCTGTGCCTCAGATGTGAGTCAAAAGTCTGCATAGCGGCCAGCCTACAATGAGGACACGAAGCAGGAAGGGAGCCAGTCTCCCGGGGAAAGGGGGGAAGGGTGCCACATAACCCCGTCTCACCCCAGAAAGATGCAAACAGGGTGCCTCCCAGCACTGCTGCCTGGGGCCTCTACAGGGACATCACAGGCAGGGCAGGGACAGACTCCAAGTCGCACTTGATGTGGGTGGTAGGGCCTCCCACACCATGTGACCCAAAATCCCTGGGAAATGGCTCAGCTGCTGC